CGTGATGAAAGCCAGGGGTCAGGCTGCCGGGGCTCAGACCCCCGCTCCACCCTTTGCTGACGGGCGACCTTGAGCAGGGACCTGCCCTCCCGAGCCTCAGTTTCCTTATCCGTAAAGTGAGGAGGACATGAGAGCCTACAACATGTACCGGGGGCTCGGGCGGGCTACCCACGCAGGGGCCCTGCAAGGGCTCTGTCTGCGCACCAGCCAGATACCCTAGAATCCACAGAGCTGCGTCCAATTTGGAAACAAGCCCCAGACAAGAGAGGACTCTTGGTAAAACGTCTATCGCGTCATGCCCTGCCCACAGCCCCGCACCTGGGAGCTGGAGCCCTGTCCCTGGGCCTCCCCGCGCCTCCCCTGCAAGAACCTCAGAGCTGGGGGGGGGCTGCCCTGGGACCCCTTGGCGGCAGGGACTCGGGGCCCCTTTCAGGGCCCTCCGGGCTGAGTTCTGTGACCTCCAGGCGCAGGGCTCCCCCGCTGCTTGAGGGGACCCCCACCTTGGGCCGCGAGCCGGGGCATTGACCCCCCAGGACCAGCCGCAGGGAGCGCACCCCCCGCGGAGCTCCGCACAGGGCAAGCGTTTGCTGAAGATTCTCCCCAGTTTCGCCTGAATACTCGGTGGTTCACCTCTACAATGAACACTGTTAGGACTCTTCCCTCAGCTTCAAATACATATAATTGCTTCTGGTGCCAGTAAAAGGTATTAATTCCACTCATGCATTCCATAAACTTTTAGGATAACGCAATTGATACCACGATCATGTTGGGACACCTCCACTATTATTCTCCTACTTGCAAACCTCCGAGGGGCTGGAAAGTTTTCTCCCGAATCCATTAGCATTGACTCAGCCACATTCTACCCAGGAAGCCCTCGTAGAGCCTTTGCGTTTCCCAGGCCCCCTCCCATGTGTTTCTGGGGCAGGGGTGGGACGGGAGGGCATTCACATCACATGGGCCAGCTCGCCCCCAGGACAGACGGATGGACACACACCCCATCGGATGCGGGGGCAGCTGGAGGTCACTCAGAGGGCTGTGTTCAGGCTTGGGGGCTGGCTGGAGGCCCCCAGGGACAAGCTGTGTGCCCTCGCACCCGTGCGTACCCGCGCCATCTCGCCTCATGGCAGCCTTCCCTGAGGGCCATCAGCAGTGCCCACAGATGCCCAGCTGGGCCAGGGCTCCAACCACACTGCGCCTGCCTGCTGACCTTGGAGCCCCTCCCCAAACCTCCAAAACATCAAGGACAGCCCCTTCCCTGGAGAGGCTCAGGCTGGGAGCAGGCCCCACACTGCCAACCCACGGGGGCCCCGGGGATGGGAGTGGCCATCAGGGCCCAGAGGCCAACCCGCCATGTCCCGGGGAGGGTGTGCAACAGGACCCAGGCACCCGGCACTGCCATCCCTGTCCGGGCTCCACCCGTCCACCGGCCCAAAGAACATCAGTGCCCGGGGTCCCGGGCCCTTGCTCACAGCTGTGATCTCTCACGGCGTCTGTCTCTCTCCAAAGCCCAGACGGCCCCGAAAGAACAAGCCTCGGCCAGGACGCTCGGAAACAGCGACCGCTGGCGGGGCGTTACCGAACCCCTGTGACACCGCGACCCCGCCGGCCACAGTGCCATCTCATCCTGCCCCCCGCTCCTGGCTACAGGTCCCTCCTCCGGCAGCTCAGTTACCTGCTACCCGCCTCCTCCTGACTCCTGTGGGAGGGGAGGGGCTGTCAGAACCCTGGGCAGCGACCAGGAGGGGCCTGCGGGCCTGTGTGCGCAAGTACACGTGTACAGTGTCTGCGTGTGTGCATGTCTGCACATGTGTCTGCACGTCTGCCTGTGTGTGCATGTCTGCACGTGTGTTCGTGTTTGTGCATGCATGTACGAGTGTTGCGTGCACGCATACGTGCACACACGCCTGTGAGCTGAGGGCTCCGGGCCCCTCTGCCCCCAAAGAATGCAGGCGTGAGAGCTGAAGTCAAGGGACACAGGTCAAAGCAGATGAAGCGCCCGGCGCTGGGGGGACTCCCAGGAGGCCTTGGCCGAGCAGAAGCCAAAGACCCATAAACAGCTGTGGCCACGTGGGGGCCGCTGAGAGTGTGTTTCCTGAGCAGGAAGAGGAGAGAAGGCAGCAGTCAGTTTGGAACTGCACTTGAGAAAAATACGAATTATCTATCAGTTACCAGCCGGCTGGCGTAGCGGGGCCGCGCACGGCACGGCGCGGAGGCCCGGAGGGCAAGCCGGGCGGCAAGTCTGGGCAGCGCCCGCACAGCCAGACCCCCAGAGCTGCAAGCAGGCGGGATGCCCAGGGGTCCCCGTGAGCCGGCCGCCTGTCCCCCACCCCGCCCGGGCAAGGCAGGGAGCCTGCAGGGGTGGGGTCTGCCCCCAGAGCCGAGGCGCCACGAATCTCATTACGGATGTTTGTCCCACCTCCACCCCCGCATGGAGAAGGGCTGGGGAGGGCGTCTGGGCACAGGCAGCTGCACCCTCCTCCTCAGCTCCGCTCCGCGAGCCCTCAGCGGGGGTGCAGGTGGAGGTGCCCAGGCTGGGAGGGAGGTGTCCACTGCTCGGGCACCGGGGGAAGCAAGGCTGGGGCTTGGAGACACAGCTGCTCAGACAAATGAGCCTTCCCCTGCCCTCTGGTGCAGCCGCTGGGCTGCCTCTGTCCTGGACAACAGGCCACCCCACGGGGCCACTTAGGGCCAGCACAACTGTGACCAAGCCATGAGCCCCTCCAGCCCTGAGGCCACACACCTGGCAGGGGGTGGTGGAGGCAACCAGGAGGGGGCAGCTCCCGTCCCTCCCTGAGGACCAGCTCAGACCATCCCAGGTGCTCAAAGCCCCCCAGATGCTACAGACCCCATCAGCATCCTCAAACAATGGACAGGAAGGGAGCCAGGACCCCCCCCCCGCCCAAGCTGCCTACCAGGACTCCTACGGGGCCAGCAACTCAGGCCCTGATGACAGAACGTCAGTGAAGGAGGGACCGGGACCCTCCCCCTTAGAAGGGAGAGAAAGGGCTTAGGGAGCAAAAGTCAGAATGTGGAATAGGGGCAGTAGTGAGCCTCCTGTCACTAGAGACGTGCAAGTGTAGGGATGCCTCGAGGGCCAGACCTCAAAGCAGGGGTGTGGGGAGCAGGACCCCACAGGCAATAAAGAAGCTCCTGCAGGTGCAGCTTTGGCTAAACAACCTTGTCCAGGAGGACCAGGCTCCATGGCAGCCCACCCCCACCCCCATCATCCAAGGAAATAATGAAGATGCCAGCGCTGACTGCGCTAAGCCCATCCCGGTTAAGCCTTATCACCTCCACCAATGGAGATGGAGTGAAGATTCCCAGATGAGGACATCTGGGCACTGACGGGAGCAGATGCCCCTCTCGGCCACTGGAAGCCCTGGAGTCAGTCTGAGCCTTGACTCAGCAATGGGTCGGCAGCTGCGGGAGCCCATGGCTCAGGCAAGAACCAGAGGTAGCTGCAGGGGGCCGTCCAGGCTGCCTGCCTCCCCGCCCCACCTCTGGCCACCCCAGGAGTGCGGGAGAGCCACAGCCTGGCCAGCAGGCAGTGGGGGCAGTGGGAACCGGTTCTCAAAGCGGCAGGACCTCGCTGTCACCAGCTCAGCACTCCCTCGGGGGCAGGAGGGAGTGCATCCACCCTGCATGGACTCCTTTGCTCCAGGGTCCTTTCCCAGGGGCCCGGTGTGAGCACGGAGCTGCTGTTCCCAGAGGAGGGGATGTGGCCCCACGGCCAGGACCGCCAGAGCCAGGCTCACTCTCCCCTCCTGGGGGCGGGCAGACCTGGAGGGTCCTTGGCGCACCCTTTCCTGCCCAATGCCTTGGGCTCCGAGGCAAGCCGGCAGTGTATCCGGGGGTCTTGGTGTCCCTAACCCTTTACTCTGCCCTAGCGGGGACATCAGGCAGCACCTTCCTCTCCCAGCCGCAGTATGGACAGTGCAGTTCGGTGGTTGGGAGCACAGCCGCAGGACCCAGCCACCAGGTTCCCATGCCAGTGCCCCCACTTACCACCTGCATAACCCTGAGCGGGCCACGTCCCCTCCCTGTGCCTCGGCGTCCTGGACTCTGACATGGGACAATAGTAGATTCTACCTCGTGGCTGCAGGCAGTTTCAAGGGTTTACACAACCTCAGAGAGGGCAACAGCAGATCACAGCTCTCGGGAGCAGCCGTGGGTGTGGGGGATGTTACAAGCTTGGCAAAATCTCGACCATCTCGCCGGGGGGTCAGATTGTTCCCAAGGGCACGGTGGCAGGACCTGGGGTCCGCGGCACTGCGGCTCCATCCCTGACACCCATGCTTGGAGATGACAGCCCAGAGAGGGAGTGGGCAAAGCCGAAACCCGCCTACAACAGACACTTCTGGCCAGCCCTGCACTGCCTGGAGGAGGTGGCCTCCGTGGGCCCCGGCGCCAGCCTCAGACAGCTCCAGGTGTCAGAGCTGTGAGCCTGCTGCCCACCCAGGACAGGATTCAAGCCAGAGCCCCCACTGAGCTCAGGGATGCCGGCCAGACAGTCCTCGTGAGAAGGGTCTGCCTCTGTCTTCGCCAGGGGGAGGGGCATGTCCATCTCCTCTGGGGCCCTGTGGGAGGCTGGCCCACTCTGGCCACGCGGCCGTCCGAGGGGCGGGCACGCCCAGACTGTCCAGCCCCGAGACCCGCCTCCCGGCCGGGTGGGAGCCCTGAGCGGACACGGATGTGCACGGTGCCATCCCTGGGTGCCAAGGTCGCGGGCAGCCCTCCCCACCGTGCGCCCCTCAGGGGACCGCCGGAGCCGGGCGCCACTCACCGTCCAGGTGGCCGACTTGGCTGTGCTCGACTGCTGGAAGGTCACCTCGAAGTGGTGCGGGCCGGGGTAGTCGGTGTTGGAGGGGATGACAGGCGCGGGCGACATGGTGTCGAAGGTGGAGCTGGGCTGCGCGTAGGGCGAGTGGGTGGGCACGTTAGCGCTAGCGGCGTGCTCCGGGGCGTAGGGGCTGCCCGGGGCCGCGCGGCTGCTCATCTGGTCCATGGTGCTGCTCAGCAAATGGAACTGGGACTGGCAGGAAGGGGAGGAGGGAAGGGGGAGACACACAGTCAGGCTGGAGAGTGGAAGCCATCCCGTCCGGGAGGTGTCCTGTTACAGGAGCCTTAAAGGGCCAGCAGCTCAGTCATCCCAAATATTTCCTCGGGGGGGGGGGGGGGGCCCACCTGACAGGTCACTACTTGTGTTGGGATAAACTGACATATTCACCTCGCCCTCCCCTCTCCATCAGCCTCCCAGTGCCTGGGCTCCTGGGGCTCCGCCGAGCACACCTGGAGGGGACCGGCCTGCGGGGGGGCGGCTCCCAGCCCCGACTGACACCCTGGGTGCCCGGCTGCACTCCCCAGGGGCAGCACCCGGCCCAGAGAGCCACGCCTCCTACTGTCACCGTTACAGCTCAAGCTGGGGAGACCCCACCCCCGGAAGCAGGGCAGAGGGCGGCCCCCGCGCGCAGGGTGGGCACACCCCAGGCTCCGGTGCAGGGGCTGTCTGCCCAAGAGGCTTTGGGAGGCCAGATGTGGCCCCTCGGTCCAGCCCCGTAGGTGGTGGGGCAGAGCTGGGGGCTGAAGGACGGTGGCTGAGGCCACCTGCGAAGGGCCTCTGTGACGACAGGCTACCTTCATCCCCCCGCACCTGAACGACCCCCAGTTCCCCCTGCTAGCAGCCCTGCCTGGTCCACACCCTCTGCCCACCCCAGGGCACTGGCAGCCTAGCCCCCTCCGGGGCCACACACAGAAGGAACAGGAGCTCCTAGCCTCGTGGTGTGGGCGTGTCCCCTGGTCACCCCCTGTGGGGTCGGACCAGCAGCCCTTGTCAGGAGCTTAAGGGAGGCCCTGGCGAGGAAGGGAGGGGGCGGGCGCCGGCCCACGCTTCGGCGTCTTGAATCCAGGGCAGAGCAGGTCTCCCCTGGAGGGCTGGCAGGGAAGACCCACCTTGGCAATCAGGAGGCTTCCAACAGGAGGGCGACACAGTAGCTGACACGGGCCAGACCTGCTCTAACCGCAAATGTTTAAACAGCTCCTCTCTGTGCCAGCCAGGCTCGGAGGGAGGGCGGGCGCTACTGCCCCCGATGTGCAGATGCGGACACTGAGGCTTGGTGTGGGGATGGCAACGCCGGGGGTCCGTGAACTGGGGGGACTTGCATCTGGCGGGCAGAGGGCCTGGAGTCCCCCTAGAGGGGTGGAGGGGAGAGGCAGACCGGACAGCGGGCGAGGGGCCCCTTTGCTCTGCACCCACTTCTGCGAGGCAAGCACTCTGCCCCCTCAAGTTCCTTGGATGGTGGGGAGAACCCCGGCCGTGGGGTGACCCCAGTGCTCAGCTCCCTCTTGCACGTCAGGAGGGTTGGGTTCCATAACCCAGAGGCCCCTGCAGCTCGGCACCCCGGAGGCACACCCGTGTCCACATCACAGAGCCCCCCGGGCCCCCTCCCGACCTGGGGAGGGAAACCCTCTCCTGAGGTCTGCCCAGCCTGGAGGAAGCTCAGCACAGGTGACGACCGAGGGGGAGGGAGGTGACGGGTGATGGACGACAGGCGGCTGAGTCTTACCAAAGCCGCTTCCCGCCCCCCCAGCCCCGTTCCTCCTGCCCCCACCATGCTTCCCTCAGATGCTCCAGCCCTGACGGCCCGCTGCCACCCAGTGCGGACCAGCCGTCAGGCCCGACCCTATGCCCTCCCCGCTGGGGACAGCCAGACTGGGCAACGCCGTCAGGGGCTTGGCACAAGGCCCTGGCCGAAACTGCCACCTGACAGATCCCTTGGGTGGCTCTCAGGCTTTTCTATTTGAACCTCCAGGGCCATTCCCCCCACCCTGTAAACCTAGGGCCCCAACACCAGTGGGATGGGCGCCCCCTGCCGGGCAGACCCCACTTCCCCGCCCCACTAAGGCCACCTTCCCTGGTCGGCGGTCCCCTCAAAGGCCTTCCTAACTTCCTGAGGCTTCGCCTGGAAGACGAAGGAGGCTCAGTGCCCACTGCCTCGCCTGCCTTGCAGGTGGAGAAACAGATGCCGAGTCCGTGCCACGGAATGTTATTCCTCCAGCATCAGGAAGAAACAAGCTACTGATGCTACAGCCCGGAGGAGATGCAAAAACACGCCACACGAAGGCGCCCACACGAAAACTCACACGCCATACGGTTCCCTTTACATGAAAGTCCAGGGATGGCAAACCCACAGGGACAGACGCAGATGGGGGCGGCCAGGGCTGGGGTGGGGCTTCGGGGTGACAGCTAAGGTGCAGGGGTCCCTTCTGAGGCCATGAAAACGCTCTCAAATGGACTGTGGTGATGGGTCCATATACCTGTGAATTGTTTTAACTGGAGTAGAGTTGATTTAATGCTGTGCTAGCATCTGCTGTACAGCAAAGCGATTCAGTTATACACACACATGCACGGTCTTTTTCACGTTCTTTTCCATGATGGTTTATCACAGGATATTGAATATAGTTCCCTGCGCTCTACAGGAGGACTTTGTTTTTTGTCCACCCTGTAAATAATAGTTTGCATCTGCTAATCCCAAACTCCCAATCCTTCCCTACCCTGCACTCCCCACCTTGGCAACTCTAAGTCTGTTCTCGAAGTCTGTGAGTCTGTTTTGTGAATATATTTTAAAAATACTGAATTGTATACTTTAAGTCGGTGAATTGTGTGGTATGCCAATTATAACTCAATAAAAACAACTGAGGGACCCGGCCAAGCCTCACCTCTCCTGGCCCGGGCCATTGTGGGCGTGAGGGGAGTGACAGCCAACGCCTCCAGAGGGCCCGGGTGGGGGCCCCACGTGCTTTCACACCCGCTTGCTCCAGGACGGCACTGCTCTGCGTCCCCCCCACTTACGCCTCCCCACTGGACTTCAGACCCGACAAGGACAGACCTTGTCCCACGGGTCATCAACGTACCCCTGCACAGGCACAGAAAACGTGGCCAGTGTGAACTGAGCTGTGCTGTGGACATAAGGGCACAGACTCCAAGGACTTAGTGCCAATGGAAAGAATAGAATAAAATATCTCATTCACAATTTCATATTGATCACTTGCTGAAATGAGCATAGTTTGGGAAAAGCAAAATAAATTCTTGAATTATTTTCACTGTTTCTTTTCACCATTTTTAATGTGGCTACAAGAAAATGCAACGTTACATGTGTGGCTTGCGTCCCATTTCTACTGGATGGCCGGCACTGGACAGGGTCCTCCATCAGTGGCCAGTGAGGGACTCGCAACTGTAACTATTGTTATTGCTTTTATTATTATTAATTATTAGCACGTCCTTTGGGGTTTTAGCGCATTTCTCATTACAGAGTGGTTACGCAGGAGGGTTGCTGAATGAGAGAGCAAGTGGGCACAGGGATGGAGGGATGGAGGGATGGAGGGGGGGATGGAGGGATGGATGAATGGATGGATAGACGGATGGATGATGGATGGATGGGTGGATGAATGGATGGATGGAGGGAGGGAGGGAGCGGGGAGAGAGAGAGGGAGGGGGAGGAAGGGATGAATGGCTGGATGGAGGGAGGGAGGGATGGATGGATAGATAGATGCATGGGGCAGCAGGATGCCCCCCACCCCACCATACAAATGCCCAGGAATGAGGACGGGATGTGAGCCTGCTTCTCCCACTTGCAGGAGGCTGAGAACCTGGTGGGTCCTGGGGGGAGGGGTCCCAGCCTGCCAACCCAACCCCCAGAGATCTCCTTTCTCTTCTAGGTGATGAGCACGACCCCTCTGGAGGGTCTTCCCTTTCGCTCCACCAAGGGCTGCAGGGAGCCTTCCACATCCCTAGCAAGGACAGCCCAGCCTGGGGTTTCATGTCTGTTCCCCCGGCTCCATCCCCAACAGGAGGACGGTCCAGGCCAGCAGAGCAAACTGCCCCTGCCTCCCAGTTCAGGGGAAGGGGGAGGCAACCCCACGACGACAACCGTGTTCAGGGGAAGGGGGAGGCAGCCCCACGACGACAACCGTGTTCAGATTTTAACTTGTCCACATTCTTTACAGATCTGAGGCGAGTGCCAGGGAATTAGTCATTGAACCAAAAGGAGCAGGGCTGATAGGATCTCCACGCCCAGCAGCCACAAAGCAAGAGGGAGCCTGGAGGCTTCCAGCGGGCCGCCGGCCGCCACAAGGAGTCCTAATGGGATGTGGGACCGCTGCATCCCTCGTCCAGCGAGGGTCTCATCTCCTCTCCTCTCGCTCCAGCTCTCCAAGGTGTCAGGCTCAGGGGCCTCCTGTGGTCTGGGGGCCTGGGGAGCCCCCCTTCTCTGCGGGAGCCTGATGACACTAGCCTTGTGCTGGGCGGATGCTGTCGGGGCAGACCGCCAGTGCCGCTCCTTCCCTCCGTCCTGCTTCCCCAGGGACACCCCTGCCCACACCCGGAGAGACGGAGAGACAGCGAGACAGCAGAGACGTCTGTCCCCCTGGTTTCCCTGAGGCTTTGAGCGCAGATTAGGAAGTGTTGCATCCTCACCTCGAAAGGCCCTTCCTTCCCTACCCACAGGGAACTTTGCGTTTCCTCCCCCGCCAGGCAGGGAGCTTTGCTGGGGCCACCCCCACACAGACCCAGCTGCTAAACAGGGGAGTCTGGACCCCAGGGGAGGCCAGTGTCGTGCCCAAGGCGGCTGCACCCAAGCCGGCAGGGGTAGGGGTTCTCCAGAACCAGAGGCCCCCGGAAGCTGAGACGAGACCCGCTTGGCAACAGGGAGGAACTCAGGCAAGACCAGGGCGTTTTTGGTTTGTTTGGCTTTCAATAAGAACTCCCAAGAGAGTGGGCTGATTGGGGCACGCCTGGCCCGCGGCGGCCCACATGTGCCTACATGCGCGCGCAGGGCTCCTGGGCCCGCGAGCGAGTGGGAGTCGGGAGCCAGCGGGTGGCCTCTCCCCAGCATCCCCGGAAGCGCCAGGCCTGCCTCTGAGCCTCGGAGGCCCCTACGCCCAGTACGCTGGGCTGGAGTTCTGGGAGGGGGTCTCGGGCTTCCCTCTCAGATCTCAGTGCCTCCGGCGGAGCAGGACGGTGCCCTGGGGGCCCCTCTCTCCAGCCCCTCCAAGGCGGTCCATCCATTTGCTCCACAAACTGTTCTGAGGCTCTCTGTCAACTTAGAGCCAGATGCTGAGCCGGGGGAGGGGGGTCAGACTGCCCTCCCGGTACGGGCCGGGCCGTCTGCAAACCCACACCGTGTGCCTGGGTTTACGTCCCAGCCTCCGCAGGGCAGCCAGGCTTGCTCCTGGGGTCAGCGTTTCTCAGGCAGGAATCCCGCATGGCCTATTTTTGCTCCATGTCAGGCAAGGGCGCACCGTGGGCCCCTCTGGGGGGCCATGTGCACACGTGTGCTCTCACGCAGGGCCCAGAACACGCGCGGAGATGGGGCGCCGGGCTTAGACCTCAAGTGTGGCCACCCATCTGCAGAGGGAGGAGGCTGAATGGGGCGGGGCTGAGGGGTTCCCCGCCCCTGAACGGACATCCCGCTCGGCCGCTGCCAAAGCCTCCGGAGTCCCAGGGAAAGGAGGAGGCTTCCCGAGGAGCTGCGGAGAGAGGTCCAAAGGGGGCTGCCCCAGGGCCCAGGTCCCGCCCACCCCCAGCCCCGCCACCATGTCCCCAGCCCCCAGCCTCAGGGGCCTCTTGCCCAGTCCCTGCAGATCTGCTGCGGGCCTTCCCGCACACAGGTTAGCCCCAGACTGGACGCTCAGAAACTCCGGGCTGAATGAACCAGACCCTGGAACTCCCAAGTAGGCCCCCCGAATCACACAGGCCCACTGTACCCACTCCTGTGCTGGGCGCACTCTGCGGCCCAAGGCAGCTCCAGCCCATGGCAGCCCTTCCAGGAGACCCTCGTGGCAGTGACCACACTGCGCCAACCGGCACCCCTGCCAGTGCACGGGGGCTGCCCAGCTCCCCGTGAGGGCAGGGAGGCGGCTCCCCGGCACCCTCCTCTGACCCCCACAGATGGCCGTCCCAGCCAGCCTTCTCCAGGGCCTGGGCTCTTCCCGCTTCACCAGGTCGACCCTTCCGTTGTGAGCTGGATTTTGTGGGTTTAGAAGTATCCCATTTTATGTGATTATCTATGTAGAATTTGTAAACCATCTCAAATGATTGGGGGGGATGTACCTGGGAAATAAACTGTCTTTGACAGTCTGTGTCCCCATTCCCTCCTAACCTCTAGCCTCCCTGCATCCACGACCACCTTCAGCAAGGCTCCAGGACGCTAAGATCAGACGAGGACCGCGCAGACGGGCTGCGATGCGCAGTCGGGGGACCCAGCACAGATTCACACTTAGGCACCACACGTGCTCTCTGGAGTAAAACTGATTTTTGTGGTGAACGTGGCAACAGAAAAACTTGTCAGTAAAGTTTAAAACGACTCTGGTTATGTCCCCAAAGGCTTACGGTTTCAGGCTGCCTCACCCAGTGGAGGGGACTCGAAGCCAGGCCAAGCGGGGGCAACTGGGGAATGCGGAGCTCAAACACTGGCTCAGGAAGCATCTGTCCGTCCCGGCCGCAAGGACACAAAGATTCGAAAGACAGGACTCGCTCGCCTTTGGGCAGTGATAACAGCTCCCAGGAAGCCCCAGTTTCCGGCCTCCTTTCGACACTGCAGGTCCACACACAGGGCCTTTTCTCGTGCTAGTCACCTACTCCCAATACTGTCTCTCCTACCTGTACCACCTCTCAAGGATCACCTCCTCCCTGAAGCCACCCAGGCTCTCTCCACCTGTTCTGGTGTTCAAGGACTTCCTCTGCTGCTTCTCTGGGTTCAGTAACATGATATGCACACCCATGTGGGTTTGCATCCGTGCCCACCTCTTACCAACGGCTTCTGTGAGGGCCCAGCAGTTAATACACTGAGAAGCCGAGAATGGCGCCCGAACACGGAATGCATAGACGTGTCTGCTGTCGTTCCTACCGGCTCCCTCTCCCCCTACCTGCCCCCAGGTGGGCATGGATGGCCACGGTCCTGGGAGCTACCACATGCATGGCTATCGCAGAAACACTGGTTCTGGCTCCTTCTTTTCTAAGCCATGGGACGGCCAGCTCACTCATCTTGCATTCTTCTGCATTTCCGGCAGAAATGGAGGTTTCACGCTTTTAATGTTCTTTCAAGGTGTGGTCAGAAGACCATTACTCAGGGCGCCCGCCCAGGGATCTGAGGGCCCATCTCGGGGTGGGGGGGCCTCCTGGGAGGTTTGACCTTTTCTGGCAGCTTGGGCCCATGCCCCCCCCCCCCAGTGCTACTTCAGTTCAGCAGAGAATGATCCAGTAGGTCATAGTGTACCCTTCCCTCCACGCCCAGAAAGGATCAGGAGGGACTCAGCAAGGGACAGAAACGACAGGACAACTCGAAAGCACAAAGGAGGCTGCCCGGCGGCAAGGGCAGACTGGCAGCCAGCGTGAACAGGGACCCAAGATGAGACACGTAATTACAGAATCCCCACTGTCCAGGGAGCAGGGTCGGGAGAGAGAAACCTCTCCTCAGCACGGAAGCCCCAAGCTCAGAGGTGAGAGGCTCCTGCTAAGCTAATTTCTCTCCACCAGAGTGTACAACCCATCCAGACACCTTCCTCCTATTCCAGCTCCTATTTCTGCATTAAGAACCTGCTGAGTGTCCAGGACACCTGCAGCTCACACGGGCAGCTGTCCAGCCGTTCAGTCCATGGTGCCCAAAGTGTGCGCCACGGCACGACTGCAGACCTTATCGGAGCCTTGAGGACAGCCAGCGTGTGAGGCGAATCTTGGAGAGAGAAGTGGCACGGAGCGCTTGCTAACCAGGAGCTCCTGTCCCCACGGGAGCCAAGCTAGCTGGCAGTGGGTGGTGAGGGGAGAGGACCTGCCTCTGGCTCTTTAAAATGGGCCCCCTTCTGGCAGAGGGCAGGCTGGAGGGGGACAGTCTGACAAAGAGCTGTCTCCTCCCCGTCAGGCAGGGATGAAGTTTCGCCCTGTGAGACAGCGCCCTGGTCCTGCCTCCAGGGAGTGCTGGGGTCCCCGCCCATCCCAGGGCACCCAGCCACCATTGGCCTGTTCCAGCCCTGGCTTTTCCAAGTGGCCCGGCTGCATGGCTTGGCCACTGCCTACTCTGTTCTCGAGAGGAGGCCGGGAGACCTGGAGACAGTGGCAGAACAGCAGAACGCTTGCCCCCTGGGTCCCAGGGCACCCATGCTGCCGCTGGTTTGCCCGTGGGGCTGGGTTGGGGCTGAACTGCCGGATTCTAGAGAAGCCAGGAGTGTCCCTGGGGGGCACTTTCCGGGACTGCACCTGTGTCCCTGCTCCTTCCAGGAGGGTCCTATATATTTTTTTTTTTAATAGATGAAAGTTGGACCTTTTTTATTCCATAAAGGGTTGGGTCTTTTTATCCCTTTCTTATGAAAGGGTTGGAAAAGTTATTTTTTTGGTTTGGGTTTTTTTGGCTGCGTTGGGTCCTTGTTGCTGCACGTGGGCTTTTCTCTAGTTGCAGCAAGCGGGGGATGCTCTTCGTTGCGGTGCACGGGCTTCTCATTGCAGTGGCTTCTCTTGTTGCGGAGCACAGGCTCTAGGTGCGCGGGCTTCAACAGTTGTGGCACATGGGCTCAGTAGTTGTGGCTCACGGCCTCAGTAGTTGTGGCGCACGGGCTTAGTCGCTCCGCGGCATGTGGGATCTTCCCGGACCAGGGCTCGAACCCGTGTCCCCTGCATTGGCAGGCGGATTCTTAACCCCTGCGCCACCAGGGAAGTCCCAGCCTGTGCGTTTTTAACAGAGGAGGGTCCTGCGAGCAGCAGTATTTAAGGTCCCACCAGACTGAAAGGAACTAAAGGATCAAGGTTTGTCTTTTTTAATTGGGGGAGGGGGGCACCCCTTTTCCTCTGGCCATAAGCCTCCAAAATAACTGTCCACGCCTTTGTGAAGCCACAGCAAACGCTCCACGGCCACCCTGGCTAAGCGCGTGCAGTATCTCACACCCGTGACCCTCAGCTCTTTCTAGAAGCTGAAGCAGGTCTCCCCGGCTGCTCTGTGCAGAGCCAGCAAGTTGGCGGCAGCTGGCCTGGGCTCCCCGCTAAGGCTCCTCTCACTCTGGGACCTCAGCCAGGCTTACAAGGATCAGGCAGGGGACCCTCGAGACCCCAGAAGGGGAGGCCCGGCTGCCGGGGAGGCCCTATCGCTGTCCTCCACGTTTTCCCTGAGACCCCTGACAACGGGGAGTGAGGATGTTTCCCAAAAAAACCCCAAGAGTCCCCAATGCAGCTCCAAGCAAAATCTACCCATGACCTTCCCAGATGTGCAAGGTGGCGACCCACCAGCCTGAAGTTTCACAGTTCCTCCCAACTCCCTCCCTCCCGCCGTCCCTCCAGAGCTTGCTGGGTCCCAGCAGACATGCCCACGCTGCCTACCCCTGCACTGTCTGTTGCACCCCACTCCCCCTGCGGCCTGCAGCACCCACCATGCATCTAGCGCTGCCCCAGGGCCTGCAGAGTGCCCTCACAGCCCTGAGGGAACAGGCTCCAGGCTGCCCCCCAAGGTCAGCCTCTGTGCACCGGTATTCAAGCTGCCCAAGGTCCATTGCAAGGCCTGGCTGTGTGGTCCAGCAGGGGACCTCTTTGCAAAAATTGGAAATACGGTAAATACAGTAAGTCCCCTACATAACGAACGAGTTCCATTCCAAGGGCGCGTTCGTAAGTCCAATTTGTTCGTTAAGTCCAACAAAGTTAGCCTAGGCACCCAACTAACACAGTCGGCTATACAGCACTGTCCTGTAATAGGTTTATAATACTTTTCACACAACTAATACATAAAAGACAAACACAAGGGACTTCCCTGGTGGCGCAGTGGATAAAACTCCACGCTCGATCCCTGGTCAGGGAACTAGATCCCACATGCATGCCGCAACTACGAGTTCACATGCCACAACTAAGAAGCTGGTGAGCCGCAACTAAGGAGCCTGCCTGCCGCAACTAAGGAGCCTGCCTGCCACAACTAAGACCCGGTGCAACCAAATAAATAAATTAATTTAAAAAAATAAAAAGTTTAAAAAAAAACACACAAAAAATAAAGAAAACATTTTTAGGGCTTCCTGGGGGCGCAGTGGTTGAGAGTCCGCCCGCCGATGCAGGGGACGCGGGTTCGTGCCCTGGTCCGGGAGGATCCCACATGCCGCAGAGCGGCTGGGCCCGTGAGCCATGGCCGCTGAGCCTGCGCGTCCGGAGCCTGTGCTCCACAACAGGAGAGGCCACAACGGTGAGAGGCCCGCGTACCGCAAAAAAAAAAAAAACATTTTTAATCTTACAGTACAGTTCCTTGAAAAGTACAGTAGTGTAGTACAACAGCTGGCATACAGGGGCTGGCGTCGAGTGAACAGGCAAGAAGAGTTACTGACTGGAGGAGGGAGAGGAGGTGGGAGAGGGTAGAGCTGAAGGATCGTCAGCAACAGGAGACGGAGGGCGAGCTGCAATGTCACTCACGCCTGACGCTGATGGCACAGGTTTTGGTTCCTTGCTGGATTCAATTCCATCTACCCTCCTGAAAAAACGATCCAGCGATGTCTGGGTAGTAGCTCTTATTTTTCTCATCATAGATGACACGGTAGCACTGGATTGCATTCTGAACGGCTGCCGCAACCTTCACGTACTGTTCTACATTTGCGTCCTGTGCCTCAAAACCTAACAGCGCCTCCTCAAATATAGAAAATCCCCTGCCATTTCCTGCATCGTGACTCTCTTCGGTTCTTCAGTTACTTCTTCCTCTTGTCTCTCCTGGAGCTTCTCAACAGGACCAGCTACATCACCACTGCTTTTACGCTTGCTTCCGGACACCCTGGGCTTGAAATAAAGGTACTGTACTACTGTACTCGATTCAGTCCTGTACAGTAAAGTACACAGAAGCACAACCGCTTGTAGAGAATGCACGCGTCCTCTGCAACGTACAATGGATGTACAATGTACGCCAGACACGTGAACTAACTTATGTGATTGGACACAAGAACGCACGTTCGTGTCTTTGGAAGTTCGCAGCTCGAAGGTTCGTATGTCAGGGGACTTACTGTAGTGTTATCTGCGTCTTCGTCACGAGACCAGAGTGTGGATCCAAATAGGAGGGGGGCTGGGTGCAAAGGTCACCAGGTGGAGCCCCCTGCCCCCTGCGCTCTGCTGGGCCCCCTGCCCTGTGGCCCCTCCCCATTCCCCTCCTGCTCAGCTTTCACCTCCTGCAGTGAGGCCCCCAGCCCATCACTCCCACTTCAGGTACAGCGCCTCCTGACCCAAGCTTCTACCCTGCGTGACCCAGTTCATCCTGTTCCTGTGCTGGGGAAAGGTTAGGGTTAGGGTTAGAGTGGGGCAGATATGCGTCTGTTTGTCACCACCGTCACCCCAGGTTTGAGGCCCTGGGGTCTGATCTCAGAGGCTCTACCTGGGGAGGGTCGGCCAGGTGCCCCCTCCTCTGGCGTTCTCTGTCTGCTCTGACCCCCAGTGTCCCCGTGCTCCCCGGAGGATACCAAAACCAGACTTTCAAAACATAGAGAATGAAACTTCCAACTCCGTGATCTTCGCTGGCAGGCATGTCTGGGCTTGGGTGCAACCTCGCCCAGAGGTAAGTGACTGACAGGCCGTCTAGGCTCTGGCTGGGAGATAACCCGTCCCACTCGGAGCAGGACCTCCATCCCGCTGGTATTTCCCACAGCATCTCCAGGAGTCTGTGATTAAACGGATGGAAATGCCAACAAGATTCGACTTGTGCTTGGGGGGAAAGGCTCCCTCTCCTCCTGAAAATATGCACATACGCTCTCTCCTCTCACGGGGCCTTGCCCCATCCTAGTCAGGGCCATGTGGAACTTTCCACACCTTGCTCTGGGCTGCCAGGGAGGCGTGTGCCTGCAGGACCTGCAGCCGGAGCCTCCGCCTGCAGACGGCGCTGCGGAGACAGTGAGGGCGCAGCCTGGACCCGAGAGCCTCCACAGGGTCTCCCAGGGGGGTCTGGGGTCTCAGGCTGCACCCCTGCCAGGCTCTGCGGAGGTGCCAGGAAACAGGCAGGTGACCCATGGGATGCAGAGATTTTTTTTTTAACCATCAGGAAACGAGCCCAGTCCACGCCCCACCTCCCAGCATGCTGAGAGCCTGGAAGGAAAGTGGGGAGCTTGGTGATCTGTCACAGGCCCAGCTCGAGGGGTACGGCAGGGGTATGGGCTCCTCTCTCCTCCCTGAGCACCACTGGGGGGCAGTCTGCCCTCACCTCCTGCCTGCGCCCCCAGAGCCTGAGCCACGTGTCCCCTGACATCCTTTAATCCATCCCTCTGTCCGTCTGTCTGTCCATCCTGCAGACGCTAAGCATGCCCCCCGCCTGCACCAGACACTGAGGACACCAAGGGGGCCATCATGGGGAGGCGGCCCTCCTCAGTGGGGACAATTGTGACAAGTGCAATGAAAGGGCAGGGAGGGTGCTGCGGGATGGCACAGAGGGGAGGAGGGGGCAGCCCGCAGAACTGGGGACAGCCTGGACTTACTCAGTGAGTCCTGAGGGCCGACCCCGGCCCCTCCCTCCAGCTCTGAAGCCAGGACCAGCTTCCCGGCAGGGGGTGCAGCTCAGCCCTTCAACACACATCTCCCGGGCACTGCCCAGGCCCTGGGAGACAGCGGTGGGCACAGAGACGCAGCCCGTACCCTGCACCCTCCAGCCTCCAGAGCTTAACTCCCATGAGGGGACAGCAGAGAAGCAGCGAACCAGGCTTCAGAACAGGTTGACGGCAAAGGAAGAAGACAAAAGCAACCCAGCGGGGGGCGGCCGGGCCAGGGGGGCTCCTCCAGGAAGATGCCACCGCCTGCCCAGGCACTGGGGAGGTCTAGACCCAGATGTCTGAGAGGGCCAGAGAGCCGCGGGGCCGAGGGCGGGACATTGCTCAGAGGAGCAGAACCCTCCCTCCGGGAGCCCACGGAGGACTGAACGCAGGAGGGACCCTCTAGCTCCGAGTCGAGTGGGAGCTGCACGGGGCCAGCACGATGCAGGTCAGGCTGACAGGCCCTAAAGAGCGGGATGCTGGGCGCCGCAGGAGGGGCCCAGGAACAGCTCCCAGGTGCTGGCCAAGTGAAAGAAGGAAGGAAGATGGATTTTCCGCCAGCTGAGAAGGGACAGTCACCCATGGGGGGCAGAGGGGGATGTATTATGTGGAAGTGGGGATGCCAGAGGGCTGGCACTGCGGGGATAGACCTAGAACCTGGTGAAGGGGCAGGAGGCCGGGCCAGCGAGCCCGGCTGATGGGGCGACCCCTCTGTCCCCCTGAATCAGGCTCCGGCATCTCCTTCCGGAAAGGTCAGTACCTCCCCGAGCCCCGAGAGCCTTGCACCCTCTCAGCGCACGGTAGGGAGAGGCTGCTGCTCTGTCCCCAGCCCAGGGCCTCCCTGCTCCCAGTTCAGCTCTGTCCTCTCCCAGCCACGGAACGGGACTGCCTCCTGCCAGGTCCCCAGAGGCCCGTCCT